AAAAATAAACAAATAAAGATCGTGAATCCATCTACATCTAAAAAAAAAAAAATTAAAGGAATGGTGGGGAATACCTAGCTGTCCCCTAGGGGAGGGACTGCTGGGGAGACTTCCTAAAGAAGAGGCAGATCCTTGGAAGCCCGCCTACGTTAGGGTTTGCAAGCTATGGAGGGAGATTTCCAGCTGCTGCTGGGAGGCTCCCATTGTCCTCTGGGGACTTCATCTCTGGGACAGGATGATTGATGAATCCCTCATCGCCAAACGCTCTGGCCAGGGCAGAAGGCAAAGACTGAAAAAACTTTTCTTGGAAATCTCTGCCAATAAAGACATAGAGAAAGGGGTTGAGGCAGCTGTTGAGGCAGCCCAGGGAGAAGGCAGCCCACAGGACCAGCATCATCTTAGGCCAGAGGGATTGGTTTTGCAGCATCAGTAGCCCTGACTGGACCAGGAGCGCCATGTTGAATGGGAACCAGAAGAGGAAGAAGGCAGTCACCAGCACCAGCAGCATTCTCTTTGGCCTGCTGCTATGGACCAGGCCTACCTGCCGGAGCTTGGCCTGGATGAGGTGGGCACAGGTGCCAATGATCACCAAGGGCACCAGGAAGCCCAGCAGGAAGTGAGCGATGGCCACGGCCATCTGTCCCTTCCATGGCTCCTCATTCCGGGTGCCCTCGTTCTGTAGGTTGAACTTGAAGTAGCAGTAGTCACATCCATTCACTGTTCCAGTGGCCCGGAATTTCAGGTAGGGAGAGCACGCGGTGGCGGCCAGGAGCCACACACCCAGGGCCAGCCAACCGGCCCGTCGGGTGGTGCGGTGGTTCCGGGCCCAGACAGGGTAGAGAACAGAGAGGCAGCGGTCCACAGAGATAAGGACCAGGAAGTAGATGCTGGCGAAGAGGTTCAGGGCCAGAAAGGCCATGTAGAGTTTGCAGACCACATCGTCCAGGGGCCACTGGCCGAAGGCAACATTGTGGATGGCGATGGGCAGGAACAGCAAGCCCAAGAAATCAGCAAGGGCCAGGTTGAAGAACCAGATGGTGGTGACGGTCCGGGTCATTCGGAAGGTGGTCATCCACAGCACCAGCCCGTTGCCCAGCACACCCATGGCGAAGGACACGGACAGCACTGCTGTGGTCAGCTGGCGGAGGTACCCCATCTGCTCAGGCAGGCACTCGGAAGCACTCATCTTTCTAGAAGAGGAATCATCACATGTCAGAGCCAGAGGCTGCTTCTCACTAGAGCCCACAGTCCCCTGGAAGACCCCAATCATCCATTCCTCCATTCAGTCACTTTTTCTTGGCTGGGAGTAGGGACACACGCCTGTAATCCCGGTGGCTCAGAAGGCTGAGGCAGGAGGATCACGAGTTCAAAGCCCACCTCAGCAAGGCCCTAAGCAACTCAGGGAGACCCTGTCTCTAAATAAAGCATACCAAAAAAAAGGGGGGTGGGATGTGGCTTAGTGGTTGAGTGCCTCTGGGTTCAATGCCGGGTGCCAAAATAATAATAATTTTTTATCGAGGGCCGATTATATCACAATGATATTCTTCTAGGTACGGGAGATGAGTAACGTAGCAAGGCAAGCCTTCACAGAACTCGTAGCCTAGGAAAGTATGTCAGGCGTAACACCTAAAATAAGTAAATCCGTGATGAACCGCTTTAGAAGATGACATGTTATGGGGGAAAGTCAAAAGGAGCGGTTCTGATTTTTGGTAATATTAGTGCAGCTTTTTCAAATAGTTCTACAGTCAAAAAATTACAAACACTAGACAACAATATCAAAGATCAATCTACTGATCGAAAACACTGGAGAGTAATCAAAATTAGGCATCAACTAGAGGAGGGTTTTTAGTTTGCATCTTTTGTGTGTGCTCACTATGCTGACCCTACAGTTCCCAGATGCAGTGGTGCACACCTTTAATCCCAGAAGCTTGGGAGGCTGAGGCAGGAGGATCCCGAGTTCAAAGCCAGCCTTAGCACAAGTGAGGTGCTGAGCAACTCAGTGAGACCCTGTCTCTAAATAAAATACAAAATAGGGCTGGGATGTGGCTCAGTGGTTTAGTACCCTTGAATTCAATCCCCAGTACCAGAAAAGAAGAAAAACTCTACTTGCCCAGCTGATGTGTGTTATGAGAGGACAGAGATAAGAGCAAGGAAATTGGCCATAAAGATAGTAGGAGGCAGAGAACTGGGGAAGGAAGCCACCCATGGGGTAAACGCCAAAATCTGCAAACAAAGCCCATCCAAACCTTTTCCTGACTAAATTATGCATGTCTGGGGGAGACACCTAGATGCCTAGTGGAAAAGGAACAGTTGAAATTAGAAA